GATACTAACTTTGTCCATTATCTTCACCAACGACAATGATACGTTACATTGAAATAAAAACTTGTTACTTTATTATTCTCGGAAATATGTCAAATAACCTGTAATTTGTTTTCAACAACAACTGTTCGATAATTATTATTATTGCAGTAAGCTAATGGTTTATTGTTAAGGGACTAATTTTTTTGTATAATAAAGGAAACATTGTGAAGTTTTGCTTCTCAGCAAACAACATTTATAGATATTACTTTGCAGTATCATCTCTGACTTCATTAATACATGAATTAGAAGAATATTCACATCCACATTATCATCTCTGACTTCATTAATACATGAATTAGAAGAATATTCACATCCACATTTAGAAAACAGTCCATAACCCAACAAATCCTGGCTACAACAGTGCTTGAAAAATTCATATCTCGTAAAGACTGAATATTAGATTACAAGTTAAAATAAGATTTTACTAGAAATTCTAGACTCTACAAATAAAATTTATTAAAAATCTAATATTTCGATAAAAAAACGCAATGGTATGTATCCTTTTCAGGTTATTTACATTCCATTGAGATCTGCTTGGTTACTGTGGACTTCCGAACAACAAACAAATATATATATATATGAAAAAGAAAAAAAAAGTTATTGTCTTTTATTGTTTTTCAACGAGACCACAAAACGTTTGACAGACGCATAATGAATAAGACTGGTCGTTACTTCAGCTCTTTTTTCTTTCAATAATTTTAATGCATCTTCTGGTGACATTTTTTCATTTGCAACCAAATGACAAAATACAATTGTAGCACTTCTTCCCATTCCACCTTTACAATGAACAAATATTTTCTTATTATTATCACTTGCTTCTTTCATAAATTTCACTCCTTTTTGTATTGTTTTCAACGATGGTGCTGTACTATCAACTGTTGGTAAATGTAATTGTTCTATATTGTATTTTTTATAGGTTTTACGTGGACCATTATATTCTGCACACATATTAACAACACATTGAATTCCAATTTTATTCAATACTTCGACATCAGAAGGTAGAGGTAAACAACCCAAATAACAATTTGGTGTTATTTGACTATATAATGAATTCAATGGATTATTTAATAATTTAAAAATAATTACTAATAAAAATGCTGGTATATCATATAATAAATGTATAATATAACGTCGTTTATCATTTAAATCCATATCATGTTTAGTTCGAGCAAAACTAGTAATTATTAATGCATATGGAAATAAATGTTGAAATTTTTGTATTGGTATATGATGATAACCTAATAATAAACCAATACCTTGAATAGTAAGTTTTAATACCATAATTACCCATAAAGTGATGAAAAATATGTATAATAATAATCTACATAAACCATAATAGGAATGTTTTTGTCGTGGATAAGTTCTATACCATTCAAATATAGCTATTAAGATAATTGGAATATAATTTCCATATGGATTATTTAATAAATATGCTGTTAATATACTAGATAATAAACATGCTACAGCAATCAGGACATTTTTAAAAGTCCGTTGATCTTCCTCGTCTGTTAATTGTATGTCCTCGGCTTCCTTCTCAGTTGGTATATTTTTTTCAGTCATATATTACGTGGAATAATGTTTCTTTTTTATAAATAACTTTCAACCATGTTAAACTCTAAAGAAATATGATTCGTTAGAAAGAAGAAAAATTTATATGCACAGAGTTCACACAACAGAAAAGAGAAAAAAAAATATTACTACCTGACAAAAATAGACGCATCATTATTACGAGTTTTACTGTGAGACATCGCTATCGCGAGTACTCACTACTTATTTTATCTTTTACTTTTCTGCTTTAAAAATAATTCTAGAAGGACGACATCACTCATTGTTTAGTAAAAAAACAGAACAAAAAATAAATTCTATTGGAGTACGACGATGCCATATATAATATGTAGATGTCATATTACAACAGATTATACTGATGATGAAACAATCTCATATAAAAAAAAATTCTACTAAATTAGGAGGAGTCAAATATTTTTACTTATAATAAAAGAATAATATGTGTAATACTAGAAAGGTTCATTAAAAATTTAAGGTAGTGTCCCACTCTGTATAACTATTTTGTTCTAAAATGACATCTATACATCCAATTCTTTTTTTTTATTGTGTAAGATATGGTTGTTTGATGCTCTAACAGAATTATTTTTCTGTTCTGTTATATGTTAAAAATGCGTAATGTCGTCCTTGGGCAGCTGCACGTGTGATTACTGCTTCTGCGTAGCAACGTCAGTTTTACTCGTTGTTCTTTCAAATAATCTACTGTATTTTATTCTCTTTTTTTTTGTTGTTGACATACTCTTACTTTAGTTGTCATCTCATCTTCAACTAAAAATAGCAGGCGTATTCATGTTTGCAAGGATTACATCGAGTCTACTAATGCATACATATTTATATAAACGACGAAATAAGTAATACATATATCTTTTTTTGTAGCGTTTCATATTACGGAGTGCATCTATTTGCGTAGTTCAATAATTACTGTCGCAAATACTATAATCTCTCGTTTTTTCGATTATTCATACAGACAAATAGTCGATATTTCTACGCATTAATAAGTTCGAGAAAAAGCTTCAGACATGATTAATTCAAAAAAATCTATTATTTAATCGGTAAACTATATAATTTTTGCGCGTGAAAGAATGTTAACATTATAAAATTCGATAGTATCGCAAGACTAAATAATTTTCTTTTTATACATGAGTTATTACTCCAACGTGGTATTTTTTTTTAAATTGTGACTTGACCAAACTTTATCCTGTGTAGATTTCAATTAGTATATACTTAGTGTTCTTATTTATATAATTCAATTTACTTGAATTTTAGATTTAATTATATCAAATGAATTCGTCAGATTCAATTAATGATTCGTCAAATGCACATTGTAAATATGATATTAAATGTAAAAAATCTGTTACAAATCATTGTCAAGGATGTGGAGAAATGTTTTGTAAGGATCATTATGTAGAACATCGAAAGAAACTTCAGGAACAATTTAAAAATATAATGTCTGAATTAGATTTATTGAAACAAAAATGGAAATCGTTAACATCTGATATGTCAACAGATATTGCATTAGATCGAATCAATGAAATTTATGAATATAGTTTAAAATCGGATCAAGTAGAAAAAACAGCAACCATGGTACAACAACAATTACAAAATTTAATTAATGAAAAGAAACAATCGGTTCTAATGATAAGTAAATCAAAATTTGATCAAAATGATTATTTAGAAAATGTTATTGAACAATTAAAAGAGAATATTGAAGAATTAAAATTGAAATTAGAAGAAATAAATAATGAACAATCTCAAACAATAGAATCATTAGCAATAAATAATGATTCAAGAAAAGAAAAATATCCTGTTAAATTATATGTTAATAATTCAAGAAAAAATATTACAGATAATACACCAACATTGTCTGATCTAGTCATCAAACGATCAAATTCATCGAATTTAGATGTAGAAGAAAATGAAACTGTTCCACCTGAAACACATCTCGAAGAAGAAGAAGAAGATCATAATGATGATGGAGAGGAAATGGTAGTATTTCTAAATTCTAATACAGAATTACAAATTAATCATAAAGTACGTTTTTCAAATAATATTGTTCGTTGGCTCCGAGGTCCTTTTAAAACAATGGTGAAGGGTCTAATGAGTTCGGTTGATTTATGTGCACAAGGAACACATATGAGTGAATATGTTTTAGAAGCAGTAAAAAAAGGATTAACAAAACAAAATCAAAATTTAAAAAAACCCATAATTACGAATAATTCTATCAAACCAACATTTACTGAAGTTACATCGGATTGGAAATTAGAAGAATCAAATTCTAATGAAGGTTATAGTAGTGCAAGTTTATGGATGCGTAATCCTCAAGGTCAACGAGTTCTAGTTAAAATACAACAGCTTGCATTATGTGCTGCTAATGAATGGTTAGCTTATGTTTTAGGAAAAGAACTTGGTTTACCTGTTAATGAAGTACAAATTGCAATTTATGAAAATAAATTAGCAACTTTACATACTGATGCTCAGGATGAAGGTGAAAAAACTCTTACATTATTAGAATTACCAAAAAATAAACGAAAAATATTATTAACTTATCCAATAATGGAACAAATGGATATATTTGATCATATTATACAAAATGCGGATCGTAATCAACAAAATATTTTAATTACAATACCAGAAACAGATGATATCAATAATGATAATGATGATTCGATGAAAGGAAAAATATATTTAATTGATCATGCTAGTAGTTTTGGTATGGGACAAGTTAGTGGAATTAATACTATGGCTTCAAAATTTCATACTAACCGTTTCTCAGTAGTTAAATTTGATCCGGTACAAAAATCAAAAAAGTTCGAAGAATATCTCAATAAACTACCAGTAGAAGATCGACCTATTATTAGTGAAATATTAAGTCGTTTTGCATCCATTACTGATGAACAATTTGATAGTTGGATTACAGAAATGCAAGATTTCTTATCGGTTGGTCAATATAATCGTATATATTCTGTTTTACGTCGACAACGTGATATCGCAAAACGTTATGCAGCCCAATGGAATATTTCTTCTACATCTTTAAGTACAAAATCAAACAAAATAGACGAAAAATAATATAACTACTTCTTTTTTTTTATAAATAACTGAAAACTTAATTTTGTAAAAAAAAATAATCATTTTTAACTTTTGCGCTTTTTTATGTATTGTAATTTTTCTCTTTTCTTTACATCATATAAATTTTTTTCATTCTACTATATCATTTCATATTTATTTAGTGATATGTTACTTGAGGGTGTAGGTGTCTTTCCTATACAAGAGTATAGATATGAATGAGACTTTTTTATTTCAAATGAAAATTCGATTGTTTTTAAAAAACTTAGAAAGATAGAATAAGAGAAAATTAGTATCATTTAAAATAATATTATGTCTATAGAATTCTTGATCAGTTAATTTGAAGGACAGAAACCAGTTCCTTTATGTGAACATACACGTAATCCAATATCATCAATGACTATATCATTTCCCGAACCACCGCGAGCATCAGAAATCATTAACAGAACAACTGAACTAGTTGGTGCTGTAAATGAAAGACCATATTTCTTCCATGTTAAATTCTTTGTCACTGGTATATTTCCTGATCTTAATTGAGCAAGTAATTGATTTCCATTCGTTAAACTTCGAACTTCAAAACGAACATTTGGCTCAATTCGATCAGCTCCATTACAAACATTAGCCAAATAAACAGAAAATTCATAACGTAAACCAACACATAGATTTTTAACTGTACCATTATAAAACTGACCAGGTTGATAATCTGCATTAACCAAAAACATATATCCACCTTGATCGCCTGTATGATCTTTTGCACCAGTATGCCATGTTCCCAAAAAATCATTATGAATTGAATTGATAAAACTAAACATGCCATCGTTTGTCTTAGGTTCAAATTGTTGTTTGTATGTTGTACTAAAATTGAAATTAGTTGGTTTACTTCTAGAGTATTGAGCTGAACCACGTCCGAATGTGATCAATAAAATAGGATTCGAACTAATAGTTTCGGTATCCGTACATAAGCCAACAGATTCTTAAACAAAATAAATAGTATATATACATATATATATTAGAAAAGAATACATACGGACTTCACAGGTTGGACCACTGAAACCACTTGAACATGTACAGTTATTTTCGGAAACACATGTTCCATTATTCTTACATGCAGGAACACATTTGTCTATAACGATAAAAGAAAGTCTTATCTAATTGGAATATTCGTTTCAGTATCTAGACGACATCTCATATATATCTTTTTTGTATTCTACAAATGCACTTAGATGCACATATGTTCAAATACTCACCGGAACAAGTCTTTTTACTGTTACAAAAGTTACTGGTACAATCTGATGCTTGATTACAGATTTTTGTATCTTGACATTTTGGACATTTAGAACCGCCGCAATCTATATCTGTTTCATCTTGGTTTTTCATTTTATCATCACATGTTTCAATAGCTGAAATGAAAGAAATTATTAGATTTGATATTTATAATAAAGATTAAATACTTACGGTTGCATTTCTTGTTTTTACAATAACTACTGATACAATCACTGTCATCATTGCAATTCATTATATTATTACATTTTGGACATCTGGAACCACCACAATCTATATCTGTTTCATCTTCGTTTTTTATACGATCAATACATTTAGAAACTAGAAAACAAAATTAAATTGTTCTCTGTTATATCTTTTTATCTAGTTATTATAAGTAGAGATATTCAAATTCTGAGAACAACAGAATAGTGGCTTAGTAAAAACATTGAAGCTCTTCTCATTTATTCTATCAACAAAGAAGTGACAATTTGAATCGTTCTATCCACTATCTTTGATTAGAAGAAAAAGTCAATAAGACTTGCTTCAGAAATTGGATCTTGAAAATAAAACACAAAACATTTACTACAAAAACTAATTTTCATATGCATGAAGAAGAGAATTTTACAGTTGATGTAGGTATCAGTTAGAATAAAATGAGGAAGTAGGCATGAGACATACATATATATTAACTACTGTTATAGCCTATTAAAAGAAGATGAGTCATGCGTTATCGAATTGGTCAAATATATTTTCTATCATTATACATCAATGAAAATAGAATATATGAAGCACACCCAACAAAAAAAGATAACATAATCACCCGTTATTGACGTTGTCATCGATGCTGTTGAAGTTGGATTCGATCTTTGCGGAGTAAAGGTGGAAGCTACTAAAGTTGTACTCATGACTGTTGAAGCTAAACTGGAGTTTGTTAAGACTGGAGTTAATGGAATTGAAGTTGTTTTCTGGATTGATGAAGTTGGACTTGAATTTGCCGAGGTTGATGTTTGGGATGCTGAAGTTGAGCCTACTGAAACTGTAGTTGCGAGTATTGAAGCTGAGCTTGAGTTTGCTGAGATTGATGTTATCGATGCTGAAGTTATACTCATGGCTGATGAGGGTGAAGTTGAGTTTGCTGAAAATGTGGTTGAGAATGTAGAAGCTGAACTAGAATTTGCTGAGATTGATGTTACCGATGCTGAAATTGTACTCATGGCTGATGAGGTTAAATTAGAGTTTGTAAAGACTGTGGTAAACGGAACTGAAGTTGCATTCTGGATTGATGAAGTTGAACTTGAGTTTGCTGATATTGATGTTAATGATGCTGAAATTGTACTCATCGCTGATGAGGGTGAAGTCGAGTTTGCTGAAACTGCGGTTGAGGGTGTTGAAGTTGTATTTTGAATTGATGACGTTGTACTCCCATTTTCTATTTGAAAATTTATTAAAAATCATAGATGAATAAAGAGTTTTTTAAAAATTCAGTTCGATAATTCGTAACTCATATTGGAAGATTAACTTCATTTTTGTTCTAATGATTCATATTAATTACAAACTAAGAGCTGTCTTCTTATTTTTATCAGGATTGAACTCAATCGTCTATCCTTACTTTTTATATAGTTCTCACAAGTGAAAATGTAATACTTACCAATACATTGATTATTTTTGCATGCACCACTAATACAATCGCAATCATCACTGCAATTCTTTAAATTGTCACATCTGGGACACTTAATACCACCACAATCTATGTCTGTTTCATTCTGATTTTTTATATTATCTTCACATGATAGATATGCTACATGAATTGAAACAATTTTTAATGATTACAGTTTATTAAAAGTTTTTTTATGCTTACAAGCACATCTTCCATTTTTACAAATATTGCTTATACAATCACAATCTTCTTTGCAATTCATTGCATTGCTACATTTTGGACATCTTGAACCACCACAATCAATATCACTTTCATCGCCATCTTTTATACGATCAAAAGAACAAGGAACTAAAAACAACATTACATTGTTCTATATTACATTTACTGAAAAAGTCTTCAAAACAAGTGAAAAAAATGCTCACTCCAAAGTATCACGCATATCTATGATTACATTATTCTTAATAACATATCAATAAAAACTTATTGGTTCAGATTGTATGTCAATTTCAATAGAAAAACTCTTTAAGATTTGTAAAAAAAAAGATGTAAAATGCACGTAAATATAAACTCTATATACTTCTATTTGTTGCTGGTGACTTTTCTTCTGAACTGGATGATTCGACTACAATCACTGTTCTGCATTGAATTATCATCACATAATAACAACAACAAAATGCCAACCAAAATAACCATTTGAAACTATATATAGAATAAAGTGGTAATTCAATTTATCTTAGTATCAAGAGTGAATACGAACGCATGGGAGAAGAATAGAACAAATATATTTACAGAAGTCTTGAAGGAAATGAACTCAATCATATAGACGAACGTTACTTTTGAATTTTAATCAAAAATCGTCACAAAGCCCATTTTTCTTCCGACACTGATCTCTGAATAACCTCCGTTAGGATTAGGTATTCTTATATACTTACAGATTTATTCTTCTCTAATTTTTATTGACAAAAACTTGTTGAATCATGAAGCACAAAAGTTGTCTCGAAAGTATATAGTGAATAAAACATGAATATAGATAGTTTGTAGTCTATTTCATCGAAGTTTTGGACTTTACTACTAATAAGCATGTTCATAATTTAGAAATAGTTACCCCGACATGACAAATATTGTCCGAATCTCGAATTCGATTTTATCGAAAGAAAATGTATATGAATTGATTGCACCAAAAATTCAAGTCTAGAAAAGAAACTATATTTTAAATTATAATCTAACAAATCCCAAAATCGCATTAGTTAAATTTTAAAGAAATTCCAATAGATAATGTTCAGCCACACAATGATATATAATATAGGATAAAGTAAAACTTCTGTTTTGTCGAATTTTATCAGTTATTTATCTCGAAATTTAAAAAAGGCATTGAGAAACGATAATAATGATAGAATAAAAGTTTATAGCAAAAGAATAGGAGGTGAATTCATTTTCGATGCTCGCTATTCTCTCAATTATGGGTATTTTTGTCGACTATATATACAACTTTAAATGAATGAATAATAAAGCAATTATTAATCGAGAAACCTTAGATATGTATTATATTATTAAATTTCACTTCTTGTTTATCTAAGATGATGTTTTTTTGCAGCACTCTATATAGGCAACGATAAAAGATGTTGACAGACGAAACGAATTCGAAACCATTCATCAAATATTTTTGTCGTCACCTAGATTATAAGTTAACAAGCATATATATTTAGAGTTGTAGGTGTCTGACATAAATAAGAAAAACTTCGGACAAAAACCATAATGATTAAAAATAAATAACGGGCTTTTCATATGATTTATTTTTAAAGAAATGTTAATATTATGTGAATGTGCTTAAACAACTGAATTAATAAAATAACTTAGAATATTCTTTATTGCATATACAGCTGTGATCAGATTAACTTTCATTAATCTCTCTGTTACTTGTCAAACAAAATATTCAAATGTTTTGTAATCTTATATGCATCAGAATTATTTTTCTTTCTATAAGTATGTGTGCATATTTATTGACAATACTTAATCTAATTGCTTCATAATCCTACACGTCTTCTGAATAAATATGCAATATTTTTCTAATAATACCATCGTTATGATTACTCAGTCAGAAGTTCAAATATGTTCTTGATTGATATGAGATATTTTTTCAACAAAACATTTTTTAATAATGAAATCTGCTATGATATAGAAGAATGCTTATAATATTCACGTCCACATCCTTTTTACGTCAAAATAGAGAGCAAACATAGGCATATTAGGGCCACCTATTCGCCCCATCCACTATCAGATATATTCTGAGACTCCAAAACAAAAGCAGAATCATTTCATTGGAGTCGCGGAAACTTTTACTGAAAGAAGGTGTCATACTAGCAAGACGAAGGTGTGGATAACGAATAGAAGAGAAACATCCAAATCACACCCAGATTAATGTGAACTAAAGATAACATTTACGTTCACGCTCTCAAATTGCTTTTATTTAGAATATGTTAGTAATTGCTTATGATTATCCATATTGAGAAAATTTAAAAATATGTATGATTATGAATCACCTTTCCATCCAGTTTTTTTTAACCATTGTTCAAATGTATTCAATTGTGTTAATTGTTTACCATTTGTCCAATCTTTATTTTTTCCATAATAACCATATTCTTCAAACCATTTATACATATTAAATAGATCATCTTGTCCTGATTTTGGTAGAAAACTTAATGCTGCTCGAAATTCTTCTTCTTTCAATGTTTTTGATATAGCTGGAATACCAGTTACTTTCGTAAAAACTTTTGCAACATCTTCAAATGAAATTTCTTCACCACAAATACAAATATCTTGATTAATATATTTTTCTGGATCTTCTAATATCTCACGAACAATAGGACCTGTATCATCAATATCAACTAAATGTAATTTAGCTTTTTGATCCAATGGAGCCGCAAATACAATTGTACCATCATCTAATTTTTGTGGTTTTGCCATATTTTGCCAATTTTGAATATAACATCCTGGTTCAACATAGATTACTTTTAAATTTGGGTGTTTTTCTTTAATATAATCACGTATTTTAGCTTTTTGTGTAAAATGTGGTACATCTCTTCAAATAGATATATATTTATTATACAAAAAATTAAATTTATTTTTTCTGTACTTACAATTTTTCTCCACTTAATTTATTAACATTTTCAACTGTACTGAATATGTAATATGGAATTTGAAGAGAACTAGCAATATCAGCCATTAGAGTACCTTGTTGTATTTCGACTTCAGGTTTATCAGGTTGTGCCCAATAATCTGTAAGAGCAAAAATTGCCCATGAATCTTTAAATGCACGTTTAACATCATCACTCTTATTAATATCACATGAAACCATTTCAATATTATCACTTAAACGCTTTATTGCTTGTGCTTTCGCACTTGATGGATCACGTGTTAAACCGCGAATCTTTAAATATAGGAAAATTATTTTCATGTATAAACAATAAAAATAAAATACAATTACCTTATATTTACCCGTTTCTATTAATGATCGTACAACGGCACCACCTTGAGCACCAGTAGCTCCAACCACTGTAACTAATCGCATATTCGCCATAAATCGAATGTATTGTACAAAACACGCTGGATTATTTCATATATATATATTTCTTTTTTTGCGTCCTTGATGTTTTTTTTAAACATATTAACGTAGGTAGACAGTATATGCAATCATACCGAACGAATAGTGCGTTTAGTTATGATGAGTGAATATAAAAAAACAACGTGCGATCAGTGGATAATAGGCAAAATGAAATGGTATTTATCATATATAATTAAACAAATCAAAAAAAAATCTTTTTGTAAACTATTTCGTATTTTTATTTATTTATTAAATAATTAACTCAATTATTATATTCGTTAAATTTTATAAAAATATACGAAATCTTTAGTTTATCGATTAGTCTACAATTGGATAGAAGGGTGATGATGTAAGACGGAGATAACACCCACACCCTTAACATAGTCGATTGTAGTAATGTTCATCTTTATAATCATATAATCATCTTGAGAATGTGCGTATTGTTTTTATTGTACCTTCACCCTCCTCACTCATTGATCAAAGTGAGGATTGAATACATCACAGTTGGATTATCAAAACAATTTATCGATTTTTGAGACAGATAAAATGAGGATGTTTATCTATCAATATTTTCATGTTTCTATTTCTCACTTTTGAATAATGCTCTATAAAGGATTTAATAAACGACCGTCTCATAATAAAAATATTATTTTAATGCAAAGAAAAATGATGAAAATACAAACTGTGCAACATTCATATGCTTTATTGATCAGCTTTCGTGGAGAATTCTTTGCTTTCAGACGTTAAAATATTGCCTATAAGCATACTACATTCTTTCGCGGAATGATGATAGAATCATAGTAAAAAAGAAAGAAAGTAAAATAAAAAAGGAATTACATTTGCTTTTTAGTTGTTGGTAAGTAGTGAAAGCAATCTTTCTTATAATACTTTCATAAATAAATCTCTTCGAATTTCCAACATGTTCTGTGTACATTCTTTCGAACTGCTCTAGTTGCAAAAAAAACTTTACTAATACCCTACACCAAACAACGTTCTCTCTTTTTCATTAATCGATAGATCAAGATCTGCTTTCATATTTTAATAATAGTAGACTTCTTCAATTATGAATTTTCACTTGAAACTTCCTTTAATTCTTTTAAGATTTTTTCTCTAAACGTAGATGTTTTGTTGTGAAATGGTTTTAGAAGATCTTTGAAGCTAGCAGAAAGCTTTTGATCATCTATTAAACTTTCTTTATCGTAGAAAAGCACATTTTCTTTTTAATATTTAGTGAATTGGGCCAAGCATCAAAATATAAATTTCGAAATGACTCAACCAGCTACAGAAATGATCCTGGATCCTACTAAGTTACCTAACACAACTACTGTCTCACAAACAAAAGAATTACCAAAAGTTTTGGCTGATTTTAAAAAATACGTTGATTCCAAGTTCTGTTATTACTCTGAACCTGCTGGTAATGCTGACTTAATAAATGTTCAAAAAAAAGTAGCTTATCAATGTCATATGAAAATACTGATGGAAGGGAGACGCTTACATTGGGAAGAAACACCACATCCTTGGGGGGGAAATGAGACATTTTTGGGGAGTACCACTTTAGGTAAGATGAATATTAATTTATTATTCTCATATCATCTATAATAAGATATATAATGTTAAATGTAATGTAACCTATTTATTTACTTTCTAGTATTAATTAATTTTATCCATATAAATATGTCTTTTTATTAAAGGTCGATTTTTTGAGAACACTACACGTTATGGTCAAGGAATGGGTGATATTTGGAATGATTATAGTTTCGCTCTTCCATCACATGATAAGAAATCGAAGATTAGACGACATTTACCTGAAGGAAATTATTTGACAAGATGTACAAGGTGTCGAGGAAAATGTATTGTGACATGTATATACTGCCTTGGAGACGGACGGATCAAGTAAAAATCTCAATATGTTTTTGATTTATATAATGATAAATTCATTTGTTTTTTAGCAATAACACAGAGTACTGTTCGCAATGTCATGGGGCCGGTAAAAAAAGATGCTCACGCTGCAAAGGATTAGGAGGCTTTCTTCATTCGCCTACATTAGTCGTTAAATGGCATACACGAAAATCAACATGGTATTGTCAAAATTCATATTTACCTAAAAAAAAGATTCGGAAAGGAACTCGAACACAGTTTTGGTCAACACGAATAGTACCTTGGTCAGAACGTTCATCCGTGGAGAATGCTGTTCAATCTGTTATTGAAAATGCTCCTGGAATTGATTTGAGACTGAATATTATCAATCATTACAATGACAAACATTTAAAACCAACACGATCTAAGAGTATTATTATGCGACGATTTCAATGTACAGTTGAACGAATGGATTTTGAAGAAATTCAATATACAATGGGAGATAATTATACAAATAAACGAGATTCTACAAAAGGTATATACATATATATGAATTCGAAATAATTTTGACTTTTTTAACAGGAACTACTTTTCGATTTTGTCAATATCCAGGACCTAAAGGTCGATCAACGATCTACGAAAACGATTATCCGTTGAATTGCTGTGGTTGCTTTGGACCTACACTTGCATGTTATTCTTGTTGCTGTAATATTCTTTAACATCAACGGATCAACTAAAACTTATTATCTGAAATTTTTTTTTTATAAAAATACAACAAAAACTGAATATATTTCTAAAATCAAATATTCCTTCGTCTTTTTTTATATACAATTAATTTTGCAACATTATTTTTATAAAAAAAATGCTGACAAACCCACTTTATATATTTGTCATTGATTCCATTACTTTATTAACATCAAGTTTGTATAATGAGTATTCAAATCTCAAATCAATATCAAACAGTATGACTTTAACACTGTGACTTCTCTTGTCACCAATTTTTTTCCTATTTATTCATTGGGATTTAGTGAACAAAAAGCACAAGGTGTGGGTGTGGATATATAATGAAAACACAGCCAAACGTTCTCACGTTTTAACTTACACCCATACTCACACCCTCAACCTAGTCCATAATTTTTATTTGTGACTTAATAGTTTTTATTTAGTAAGAAAAGAAAAAGACAAGAGATAGTTATAATATTCCGTAATTCATAAGTCTTATTTTTGACAGTTCCCGATGATGCATGAATATTAGATATATAATCGATCAGTTCTGATGTTTTTGAATAATAGTTAGTGGTGTAGATTTCTTTGTACCAATTGTCTCACACAAACACGATAGAAGACAAGAATTCTTT